AGTATGTGTATTTATATTAAGGAATTTTTTAAATGACATCCTCTTAAATTACTTTAAGTGCTTTATTTATATGATTTTATTTACGCAGATACCCATTAGTCATTTTACTAGAGGGTATGACGGCAGCAACAATATCAAATTGGGCCGCATGCAGCAGCAGTAGGAGGCTTTTAACCTTTTCGACTCGGTCCACAAGCGATTTGTAGTTTGATTTTTCGGCATTAATGATAATTTGGGACACTAATGCACGCATTAGAGCCACGATGACGACGCTCGGAACGACAGCCAAAAATTGTTTTGGTCTTGTGGCACGTGCGCCTTTGCCGCCTTCTTTACTTTCCAGACTCGAAACAGCAACAGCAACAACAACAACTCGGAGTTATGATGAATAAACAAACAGTCAAGAGAATAAAATGAAATAATAATAATAATTTTTTGACAACAATTTATGCGGCCATTAACAGACGCAATACAACGTGTTTATTTGAGCATTTCGCAAATACAAAATATGTTGCAAGGCAAATGAAAAATACAAATTCAACGAAATAAATAAATATTAATAGCTTGAAAATCAATCAAAAATTCAAAGCATGCCAGCCGAGTCACCAGTCGCAGTTTCTAGTGCAAAAATCGCTATAACTGCTAATAAATTCAAACACCCACGAAATATTTACTGACTGGTGCTGCCTGAACATTGACAAAGTGTTTTTGCTGTTTGTCTAGGCCATGTTTTGTTACGACATGTGTGGGCGTCTTAGGGCCTCACTGGGTCATACTTGGTCCAGGGAAAGTGACTAACTTGAAGCTGAATTTTGAAGTCAGGTTTTGTGATAACAAACTGACGAACTTATAACTCAAAAAAGAAAATTATTCCTATAATCTTAGTTCTATATCTTTGTTATTTAATATATTCCTAAGGCGTTCTCAATTTCTAGTCTAATCAGGTTCACAACTGCTTTTGAATCTCTCTTAATATTCTCCATCGGTTAACTACACTCAAGACCTATTTTTTAGCCGTGAACACAATTAAGCTTACACCTGCTTGTCTAATTGAAACGTTTGCCTGACAGGCCTTCAAGAGCCAACTCGCCCCCATAATTTAGTCTGCGCGCAAATTATTTGACATGATTCAACAAAAATCATAAAGAAATAAATTACTTGCATTTGGTTTGCTTACTCGAATAAACTGCAGCTCAAAAATACCTAACAAGTTTTTTTTTTTTGTGTGCTTTCGGTTAAACACAATTTAATACTTTTAATTATTCTGACTGCATGTTTTTCTAATTACAATGTACTAAATATACTATGAGTATGTAAGTGTATACTATGTATCCGCAATTTAATCATTTCCCAGTTTCCGTGAAAAAAGAAAAACAAAACCAAAAAAGCTAACCAACTCGGCGTTACTAATTACATTCGCGCCAATGTTAATTTGTTACAATTTCCGGAAATTCGCTAATTTATTTTTTTAACATTTTTATTAGTGGCATAAATTCTATGCTAATGTTGTTGTTTGTCATTCTCTGGGTTTGAGTTAAACTTCCTTCTCAGTTGTTTTTTACACATTTGAGGCGATAAATCCATTTCAGTTATGTTCACACCGAAGGGCTCATAAATATATAGCGATGTTAGAGTAGTTTCTTTTGTACTTACGAGTATATGTGATTAGCTAAACTTAATTTATACATGTAGACCAGAGTAGTTAAACTAGTTTGGTCTTCTTCTAGACTCTAAATCAATACAGGTAGATATTGATTGGAGCTGTAAATTTATGTGACAAAATGTATTATTATAATAACATCGATATTTTAGTAAATCATGCAATTATTTAATTTGAGAATTTAAAATAATGTGCAAAACATTTTGTACTATAATTATATTAAATTGGGCTCAATTATTTTAATTTTTCTTAAATCGAGTTAATTTTTATTATTATTATAATCAGATCTGTAAAAAAAACCGATTTTTTTTGACAATTACTGTCAAAAAATAAAACTATTTGTACATTCAGTTATATTTTCAATATATTATTATTTTTGATATATCGAAATTGGTTTAATCTAAGTAATGACACATAACTTAAAATCATATCTGGTCGTTGCAGTTGAAAATTCAGTTAGTTGATAACATTTTTGGTGTTTAAGCTGTGAGCTTAAAGAGAGGGAGAAAGAGAAAGAGCGAGCCATGGTAAACACAAACGAAACTTCCGCTGCAACTTGCAACACATAATTACATGGCATTTGAAGCTCCAAGCTCCATTTGAGCTTCCCGTTTTGAGGGTGCAGTCTGCAAATTGACTACCCCTGACCAGCCTCACCCTCAGTTGCATTATTAATTGCTGCTTTGATTTATCTTAGAAACAGGACAAAATGGGAGGAGGTCACATTTTCCATTACGTTAAACTCGCAAATGTTTAATTGTGGAAATGAGAAATATGCGGAAGCGTTGACGATTCCGCTAGAGCAATGTTGCAGCACCGACTGCACTTGTCGCATCACTTGATGCCAGGCCCGTGCCCGTCCCCTGACCCCATAGCCATACCCACACAAATACTCAGAGTCAGACTCATCCATAGACGCATAGACCCACACCCACATCCTCACCCCTCTTGTTGCTGACACTGTCACTGGCATTGTGGCTGTCTAGCCATCAGCATCTGTAGCTGTCTGTTCCAGTCGCACTCGCCCTGCCACTGTTGCTTCGCCCCGTCTCCTCACAGCTCTTCCCTGCCCCACCTAAATGACACAAAAATATGGGCTTAACCGGAAACGGATGTATTATCTGCGCTAACTGCGCTGCGCTGCCTCGGCTCGGTCTACAGCTGTAGCTCGAGACTCGAGTTCGGGTCGTGGAACTAATAGAATATTATAAATATGTACAGAGATATGTTTGTACTGCGCACATACATATTTATATATGTATTTATACATAAATGTGAACCTGTAGCCAAGCGCCTTTCTGACCCACGCCTGAAGCTGACGTCTCTGCTCATCTGTATCTGTATCTGTATCTGTATTTGTATCTGTATCTCTATATCTGTGCGACTCGTTCGTTACGCTTCCGTGGGCTTTTTGGGTTGTGCTTTTTGCGGCTCGAACCGAACAGTTTCATATTGCTTTGGCCCTCGCCTCGACATGCAAAATCCAACTGTGCTCTAACCCCCTCCTTCCTCATTGTCGCATTAGTTTGTTGCATGTGTGTCATATAGCCGGACAGCGGTAGCTCTGGTTTTCCCCCCACCTTCCTCCACGCTACCTGCTCGACTGCATTCGCTTGCATGTCGTCCCGTTTGACGAGCACTTGCTGCAGCGCTTTCACTTTTACAAGTTTTTATTTATTTTATTGTTTTTATTTTTAGTTCAAGAATTCTAGCCGTGCATTGACCCTCAACTAGTAGATTCCGAATATTGTTGTAATGTTGAGCCAAAAGCTGATAAATATCAAACTTGTGTATTTATTATTCTTTTATGCTAAGAAAATAAATAGGGAAATAATATGAAAAATAGAAAAATTGGCAACAATTTTTTAGAAGGAGACGGACCTTCGTCCGATTCAGATTCAGATTGTGGATGCCCAGATATCGAAAATACTTTCGACTCGAAATATTTATTCGCATAAAGTGTTTTTATAATCAAATTCTATATAGATATATTTATTTATGAATCAGAACAATTGCTCATAAATTAGTCCCAATTGGTATGTTTTTAATACCACTTTATTTCCAATACCTGATTTTCAATATTAATTGTCATAAATATATATAATATAATATAGGCTTGGTATCTGTTTGGATGGTTAATATAATAGAGCTATACGATAATTAGATTCATTTAAAAAAAAAAAAGAATCTATTAAGTTTGAGAACAATCCAAGATCAACGAAATATTTAAAGTTAACAATTTGATTGAAAAGTCTTACGTCCAACAAAAGCTGATGATTTTAGGGTGGCATTGCAAGCATTTTGACGTAAGAGTGAAAATATTTCATCAGCTGCAGCTGCCTCTCTTTCAGTTGGAAATGAAAAAGCATTTGCATGAGTTTAGCAGGATCGTGGATAAGCAGCAGCAAACTGATTGAGTCATTTTTGTAGACAATGCCGCAACCGCTGTCAGTGAAAGTGATCGTGATACGTGATGGAGGCCGCAGATGCGGCGGTGCACGCATATCTCATAGATACATTCTTTTCTTATTTTTATCCTTTCTATCCGCGGCACTCAAGCGATCAGCCAAATAACAACAAACATTGTCGAGCGGTTGAGTTTGAAAATAGGGAGAACGAGGCAGTCGTTGTCCTTATTATCGCTGCATCCATTGTGGCTACTTTGTTAGGTTTGATCGTTGCTACTTAGCATTTTCCCTACTGATTTTTGTTGCTGCTGTTGCTGTTGCTCTTGATTTGTGCATGCTTCACTGCATTTGCTGCTGCCAAGAGAGGGTCATTTGTATAACACCATTGCTTAGTGATGACACTCATGCGAGGCAATGCGAAACATTTGGCCAGCAACTATTTCTAATCAATTGAAATAAATTTCTAAAATTACACAGATGCCTAAAATATTATGGTCACGGTTACACCTGAGCCGATAATCCCCAAAAAAGCGATATTTCTTCAAGCTTAAAGCTTGTTGGTAACTTTTCGCCTCCCAAAACCGATATTCCTGATGAAGTAATCGTATACCATATATGCATCTCACACAATTTGAAAGCTATAGTCACCGAAAAGTGTATTGCTAGTATTGAAAGATATATATATACCCTCTATGATCGCCGATTTAATTTAAGAGTTACAGTTATCAAACTTGGAAGGCAGATTACTAAAAACATCCTCTAATATTAATTTTCGCTGTTAGTCCCGAATTCAGATGGATTTTGCTAATAAAAAATACGAGGATACAAATTGTGGGCTCGGGATAGATTTCCATCAAGGTAACAACTTGAGTGACCATAAGAACAGAAGGCAAAGTTGATGCTGTCAAAATTTTAAGTTGACCTGCTAACAAATGTTCAATTGGAATCCGAGACGCTATTTGGATATAGTTTATCCCTATGAGCTGCCACTGCATCACTTTCCTGGAAGGCCAGAAATGCATCCAGAACCACCGCATGAGAGATACTTCCGCCCTTTGCCGCCTTATGTACAGCCCAATGCTCAATCGCCGCCTGGTGAGAATGCAGGACAAAGTCACGTGTTGAGCTTTATGAGACGCTGTTATCTATTGGCCGTCACTTATATGCTGATCTCCGTTATTCAGCGGCTCCTATTTGCCCTGATAGTTAAGCAAAGAGACATATATATGCTGCCCGGCTTTATCTGCTTGGTGCTGGCCTTCTTCTTGCTGCTGTTGCTAACATTCTGCCCGCGGTTGAGCTCCAAGCGGTGGATCGGCATTGTTTTTTTCACGCTCTTCGTGGAGACAGTCACCTGGGGATTGGTACTGTTGCTTCCCATGCGGTCGCCATGGAACATCATGATGGCTATAGTAGCTGCCGTAATCGTGTTAGTATTGTGCTATGTTGCGGGCGCCTGGTTGCCCATGGTTGTGCTGCCCGGCGAATTGACGTTGGCCTTGATCCTGATTCTGTTTCTGGCTGTGGGATCAATTGTGCTCACATTGTTTATTGTAACAGATGAGGCCAAATATCATACTATTTATTTTGTACTCATTGGCTGTGTCATGGTGGTCTTGTCTATATACCATGCCCAGATCGTTCATGGACGACGACACTGGTTGCCTATAAATGAATACTTGAGCTGTGCGGTAAGCATTTACATTCACTTCGATCTGTTCTTCATGGTTTGCTATCACATTATTTGGGTGTACAAATGGCGCTAGTGATGTATCAAATAAATGTATACATAATTATTTTTAAATTTATAAGTGAGCCGATTGAAATAATAGCTGGATTAGATTTCGATAAGTACATGGCATAATTAAATACAACCTCCGGCTAAAAAAAAATAAATATGGCGCTAGTGATGTATCAAATAAATGTATACATAATTATTTTTAAATTTATAAGTGAGCCGATTGAAATAATAGCTGGATTAGATTTCGATAAGTACATGGCATAATTAAATACAACCTCCGGCTAAAAAAAAATAAATATAAAGAAATGTCGAAAAGTATTATTCTTTATTTAATAAAATGTTTATTAAATCAGTAAAAATTTCAGAACACTTCATAAATAAAATATTTGCTATATTTAAAAAAATACTTTATAATTAGTTCAACCACATGATATGTGTATATAAATACTCATATAAATGCACATTCAGCTATGTGGCATAAACGCCGCAAGGCTTTTTTTCAATAGATGTGATTTAGATCTTAAGTTCAAAGCAGTTTCACTTTAAATGTCAGTTCAATAATAATTTGTATAAAGTTGCAACAAAATTCATTGGTTGAACTAACAACAAAATGCTTGGAAGATTTTCTCGCGCACGGCAACCAGATCAACAACAACAACAACAACAACCACAACAAGAACCACAACAACAACAGCAACAGCAAAATGTTATTTTTATGAGTAGATCTGGATTGACGATGCAGAGAGAACAGAATGACAACGTTGTTGTGATAACGGTAGACGATGATGAGATGAAGTTATTTATTCGCAAGGTATATCTGTACGCAATTAGCTTTATTTTGACCACTTCCTGCATCTGGCTGATCATCTCGATAACCGAATACAACTTCAACCGGGACGTACCAGTGCCCTTCTTCGTGTGGCTTATGTTGGCATTCAGCTTTATGGTTATACTGCAATGCTGCCCGAATACGCGGTACATCTTCCCCATCAACTGGACTTTGGCGATCGGTATAATTGTCTTCATAACGCTGGCAGGGGCCTGTATCATGCACGTGTATTCCCCATTAACAGTGGCGATAGTACTCACAGCAGCCGGCCTTGTGGTGATATTGTTGCACCTTTTTGGTGCCTTGTGCCCTCGGAAAGCGCTTCCGAGCAGCCTAATAACTGGCTGCTTAATGCTTGTATTGCTAGTAGCTCTGATTGTTTTCATGGTGCTCATGTTGTTCATTGAAAGTCCGGTCTATGCACTTGTCTTTTTCATCCTGCTGTTCTGTGTGATATGCCTCAGTATACCCTACCACGCGCAATTTATTAACGGACGCTTACAGATTGTGCCACTCCTTGATATGCTGTGGTGTGCCCTCACCATTTACATTGATTTTTTCATGCTCTTCTACTGCATAGCCTTTTTTTACATATTCTACTTTCAAGTGAACAATCAATCAGCGGATTAACTTTGAAATCAGATATCATATGTAATATGTAAAAGAAATGAAATATGAAAATTATCAAACATTATCATCATTTTATTTCTAATACAGTTGCAGTAAAATATAAAAATCGAATGTAAATATTATACAAAATCAAATGTATATGCTATTTTATGGGTATACCATTACAATTTGAAAATACAAGGAGCTTTTGAAACTATTATCAACTGAAAAACACAAAAATTTTCCATTATGATATTTGCAATTATGTCGAGTTGTAAGTGTTGAAGTTAGCCAAAATCACATGGAGTCCATAGTGCCGGATGTCTATGGCATGCCGCCCGATATGACCATACGCCACGGCTTGAGGATCTACGTGCTGAGTACGCTGTGTGCCGCCTTCGCTCTGTTGCAGTGGGCGATCATCGGTTATTTTTCGGACTGGCGCAAGTACAGGATGCCGCAGGTGCGATATGGCTATTGGCTGATGGCCACCTTCTTTGGCATCTGTGTTCTGTCGTGCACGCCTATAGGACGCAAGTTCCCCTGGAATGTGGCCCTAATGCTGATCATTGTGGAAAGCTCAACGCTCTACATTGCCATGGAGCAGCAAAACACAAAGGGTCTGCTGGTCAATCTGTATGCGGGATTGCTTGTTTTCGCTTTAGTTACTGCCTCGATATTCTATGGTTCTTACTTTCCCATGCGTTGGGTGCCTGGCGATCTGATGTTGAGCCTTCTAGTTGCTACCTCAAATTTAATGCTGATCGCGTTCTTTCTGAACGCTTACATATTTGACAATTTCACTGTGTACACAATTGTACGCAACTATTTTGCAATGACTGCCATCATGATGATCATCTATACGGCAACCATTATACACGATCGCCAGTTTGTAGTGCCCAAGAATGAGTATCTGTTTCTCAGTGCTTTACTCTTTTTTGGACACATGATACTCCACGAACGCGTCTTGGCTTTCTCAGTACACAACGAGTATAATACAGATTGTACACTGTTATATTTTTTATAAAATATTCTACCAGCAAAAGTCAGATAATATGGAATTTTTTATTTAATATTTTTTAAATTTTATGTGATCTGCTTATTTATTATTATTATTAGGGGGGAAGCTGCACCGCGACCTATTTGATCTATTGTGCCCCCTTCTGAGCCTATAGCTCTTCCATCAGCCCCAACTCCCTTACGAACGTGAGGATCTTTGTTGGGTTGAGGTCTTTGCAATTCAAAACATGCGCCCCTAGGATGCTGCTTCTTCTTCTAATTAAGGCGACACATTCTGCCAGGATGTGCATCGAGGATTCCTCCTCTCTTTCACAAAACCTGCAGAGATCGCTACTATATAATCTATGTGATCTGCTTATTTACATGTATTTAAATTTGTTTTTGCTCCATATCAAGAAAAGAAAAAATTATAAATCAAAAATCAGATGATATGGAATTTATTTTTTTTTCTTCTAAAATTATTTAATATTTCTTAAATTTAATGTGATCAGCTTATTTACATTTATTTAAATTTGTTATTGCGCCATATCAAGGAAACAGAAATGTATAAATCCAAATTAAAACTTGCTTAAGGGACATTATTTTACTCATTTCCAAATTGTCACAAAACGGACTTACAACTGCTACTATTTATATCAACATCTCTCCAGCGAAATATCTTCGAAAAGTTTCATTATTGTTGAAGCTCCATTCATTGCGTTATTGTTTCTGTTACGCAAATAATGTACAACTTGAAGAATATATTGTTTTATTTGTATATTGAGCGGGGAGCGCGTGTTACGCGTTTATCGAGGAATGTGCCAGTCTCCGACAATGTAAATCCAATTGATATAAATAAAAACAAGCAACGTAGTATTTCGATTGTTATAGACAGGGATTGTCTGGCTTTTGTTTATACGAACAGTGGACTCAATTGAAATAATTCAATGGGAGTAGCTTACAATTACACAAAGTGGGGAAAGCTGTCAATCAGTTTACACAAAATTAGTTTTGTTTTCGAAGAAATTATATATTTGTATAACTGCACTGGAAGGTCAAACTTATCTGCTCAAATATTAGAATTAAAGCAGACAACATATTTAAATATTTATATATATTTTTCCCTATAATTTATATATTATGTTTTTTTTTTTAATAATTCTCATACGATATCTCTTTATAATTAATATTTAATTTTTATATTTGCACAACTGCTGCGTATGGGAACAGACGATTCATTTTTGACAATTCAAGCTGTGTACATTTTGACAAAGAATGCTTCCTGAATTTTTATTTTTAGACTTTCATATATTCTCTTTTGTAGCCTTATGCAACTTTTACATAATTTTCCAAGTGATATAACGATTATTCACAAAATAACAAAAAAGAAGCACAATAAGCTCGGATAACTCTTTTTGTTTTGTTGTTAATTTAAGAATTGCAGCCAGATAGTGCTTAAAACTGTTTCAGCTGGTTGTTTATAATAAAAGATTAATTTGTAGATAAAGAAATTATTCGAATTTATGTAAATACAAAAATGACCGAAAATACTAATTGACACGGAATACTACAACAACGTTTCATATTTGAAATGTGCAAAAATATTGAGAATCTCATATATATATTTAATAATTATAATGGAAGTTTCTTTAGCTAAAAGGAAAACACTTATTTCCATTAGATCTCAAGTGTTGCCCATACCAGAACTCAAGCTCTAACTTCGCTTATGAGTTTCACCCCTTCGGATATTTCGAGGGACACACGGGCATCGATTTAAACTGGATTAAAAGAGTAGCTACAATACTTAAAAAATTTACATAAAGTATCTCCTGCCTCAATTGGGCGCCGCTCTAAGCTGGCGTAACTGAATGCTGGCTCTTAAAGTGGGAAACTGGAACAGGATTAATAGGCTCGCCGATGGGCGCTCGCCGCCTCGCTGTCCAAAGGCAAACAACAAAGCGGCAGCTGGCGCAAAACAAAGGATGCCAAGGCGTTCGCGAGGTGGCGAACAATGGCCAAGGCATTAGTAGTAAGAGCGCGATTCCGATCCCGATCCTTATGCCGATCCACTTAAAGTCCAAGCGAGGCGAATAACGAAAAAACATTAACAACAATGTAGAAAACTCGTTATGAGTCACACAAATCTCCGACTACGGCCAAGGAAACTAAACGTCCAAGCTGCGAGTGTGTGTGTGTGCAGCTATTTAGGGCATTGCTTTGATCAACCCCTCCACCCAACCCCCACCCAAACCTTTTTGCTGAGCGTCGTGGCGGTCAGTCGCGAAAACAATCAGCGGGCACAATGCTGATTATGACGAACATAAGAATCCCTATGACTATGTTTACGTTGATGCGTTGAGATTGAGAAGAGCAGACAGAGGGAGGTTCGGTTAGAGGGAGGGCCAGCAGCCAAGCTTATCGTCGTAATTTAGCTTTGGAAAAATCTTGCACGAAAATCGTGGGAAATTATCCAAAAGCGCATATCGAATGCAATTAAAGGGCCGCGATTCGCGGTGGTTGCTAACACGCAACGGCACGCAATGCCACGCACTTGGCACCACCATCAACACCACCATCAACAGCAGCAGCAGCAGCAGCAGCAAATGTATGATTGTCATTTGGGGTGGAAATGCCAACGCGGAAAACTTGGCCATCATCATCAGTAAAAGCTGCGCGCATTTTCTATAATTTTCACCCCAAAACATTGGCCGCTTGTTGCGCGGTCAGCGAAAGGAAACAAATTCATGATTTACCTTTCCGGTGACAAAAACTGCGCTGCGGAAGTGTTGCAACTTGAAACTGGCGTCGCTTACCTCTCGTAACGACTTTGCGTGGTACTCCAGTAGGTAGGCGGCAAACGTGGGAAAGTTTTGCAGGCAACAGGCGGCAGGCAGCCCAACGCCTAATGAAATGCAACAAAATGTGTCAGTCCTTTGTGATTTGTGCGCCCTGATAAAGGCAAAGGTGGCGGAATGTAAGCGCCCAGCAAAAACATATGTCACTTATCGGAAACTTCAGCAATAAAAGTAAATCACTGATCTCAATCTCTAAATAAATTGATGTTATTTAATCAACAATAATAATAATAATAATAATAATCCAATGCCAGCGTAAGTGAAATTAACGAAAATTAAAATTTGGGCATTATTGAACTTAATGCTCATATGACAGTTTTTAATTTGATGAGCAATCCAATCAATCTTTTAACCTACATAAATCTAATTCTTAAACTAACACGGACGCTTCCAAAACATATTTTTCAAATGCATATTTGAAATTAGACATCTTAAAAATAAGGAAAAATAATATTTTGAGTGCAGAACTCAGGTGTTTTTAATTAAATATTTATTATTAATTTTTATTCTAAATCTGTTAGATGACAGTCAGCAAATTGTGTACATACGATGAACATAGTTTCTTAACTAATATATTAAAATTATTTCAAATTTATTCACTTCGCTAATATGCTGCAATTACTTAAAATCGAAGTGAGAAAAAAGTGTTGAGTGCAAAATTTCATATAATCATAACTCTTGCAAATTATTATTATTACCAAAGCTGCAGTGTGCGCGTTATTAATTATAAAAACAACAACAAATTCAATACTCTTTGAATTTTCTTTGCCAATAGATAGAGTTCTAACACTTTTTTGTGATGTTTCTTCAAGCACTACTATAGTTTTCCTACTGTTTACAGAAGCAAGAAATTATTTACATATCATAATATTTTACAAAGAAATAAAAAATCAAAAGATTTGAGTCCAATCACTCCTATTATTTTCAGCGCAACTGCATATGGACATGCAATTCTTTCGCAAGCTGTCATACCTCAAAAATTACAAAGCGCTGCAAATCTACAAAGAGCCATTAGTCAACCTTTGAGGATGAGACTGAGGCTGAGTTTGAGGCTCGGCCCCAATCTGTTGTCGACTGGTCGTTTTTCCAATGTTGACAAACTGCCGCAAAAGGTCGACTGGGGTGGGAGGGAAGGTAAAGTTCGTGATTCTGCGTCGACCATTGGCAATTGGTTTAGCATCAGCATCAGCATCAGCATATCATTGACAGCGTTCTCTGCTTAATGCGAAATAATTACAACTTGTTCGCACATCATTCTTCTGAGTGAAGAGCTCAGAAGATGAAAAAATGTATCTGTCAGCACATTGTCTGTCCTCGACACCATATTCGTTTTCCTCCTCCTCCCATCAGCCCGTTGGAGTGTCGGCTTTATTTGTTTGCCAAATGACGAATGTGGCCGCAGATGATGACGAAAACTTCACTGTAAGAAACGAGAAGGCGACACTTGCTTCATTTATTTGTATTTTTCAGCAGTGGGCGCAAAAAGTCGGCAAAATTTCAAAGTCGACATCATTAACACCAATGCGCCATTTTGGTTAACCACTTCGATGGAGCCGATGAGTCGCTGGAGTCACCGAAGTTGCTTGAGTCGCGTTGCTGTTGATTGATGTGCATGCGAATTGAGCTGAGTTTCTACTCGCCAACATTGTGGCAGTGCCGGATTGAGTGAGTTAACCAAATTGGTGAACCAGGCCAGCTGGTACCGTCTGCTACCCTCGTGGAACGCCCCAAGGGTGTGTAGCTACCGTCTGTTGTTGTTGTTATTTTAGTGTCGTTCGTCTATGCTAATTTGTTATTTTAAACATGCTTGTTTGCTTTTCCAATGAAAATATTGACAAAAACGTACTGCTGTCAGGCCATAGTAGAAACTACTGCAACACGGCTAACACCTGAGGCAAAGATATTTTGTATGCGTATGTTTGTAAGTATATGTACAGTCATGCTGTGGGTAACGGCAACAACAAACAAGCAAGCCAATTAACGCAAAAGATACAATTTGAATTCGTAATGAATTTCGAATTGAATTTTTTGTTGTTTTATTTTGCCAAAACGTTGGGGAAAATTAATAAACAAACAATTAAGGCGAAAAAGCAATGGTATTCTAAAATCATAATTCTCGTTGAATGCAAAACTGAAAAGAAGTAGAAGAGATACTCTTTAACAGTAGTTGTATGAGTATAGTAGTAACTAATAGC